AAATTACTCAACTTCAGTTCCATTTTATTTGGCTTCAGCTAGTGCTTTGTGTTTGAATTAACACCACATCTAATGTGAAGCACGGTGAAAACCATTTGGTTTCATATTGAACCATGTGAAACCACAAATTGCCCACAATTCCTTTTCCAAAACCACAAAGTAACTCAGGGTCACTCAGAAGTCGATGAACCTTAGTGAAAAGTGCTCTAACTTTTGAATTTATAACCAAGCCTGAAAGCAGGTAAATGTTGCCTGTTCAGAGCTCATTGGGAACCTTCCGTATACATTACCTACTATCCCTGCCCCCAGATGTTTATGAAGCATCTAACAGAAAGGAATTCAGAGTCCTCCTTCCCCACTTTCTCTGGCATCACAGCCATCCTGCTCCATTTTTCACCTTTGCTTGTTTTCCAAATAACCCATGTGGTGACAGACTATTTGATTATCTTCTCTGAAGACACGTGGCATTGGTTCTTTCCAGGATGCACACACTAATCACCACATCTTCAGAGGCAGAATGTTTCCATCTGTTTCACTTGCTGATAGATTATTTTGAAGAGTGCTGAGAAATTTATGAATTACAAAATCTCTCCTAACCCATATATTCTTGGGGTCAGACAGGGTTAGCTCTGCTCATGTTGAAGGCCATGTTGAGGGAGGCAACGGAAGAGGAAGAGGCATTCTGCAGTGAATTCCCTTGCGGCACTAATCTTGGATGTAGGTTTTGTTTGCCAAACAGCAAGGTTAACCCAATTATTTGGGGCTAAAACAAACCAAAACTTAGGTAAATGAAATGATAAAGTGACATGCAGTTTAAAAAAAACAGATAAAGAAATAAGGGGAAATTGTGTCAGCTTTGCCTGAAAATTCAGTGTTTCATATTGGTAATATTTAACCCTTAAATTTCTTTTGATGAGTTGTAGATTTTAAGGCCAGAAGGGACCACCAGATGATCCAGTCCAATCTGTATATCACAGGCCGTTACCACCATGCAGCACCCACATACTAAACCCAACAATTGTCATTACACTAACACATTACAGCTCTGAGAAGACTAAACTATGTTGTGTCACAAGCTGAGAACAAGAGAGACTGAGGTGTGTCACTGAAATGCTTGAAGTAGCAGGGAAGTTGTTTCCCTCTCAAAGAACACCTGAAAATAGTCTCCGCACATCTAGAGGTGTTTGGGGTGTTTTGTTCCTCTTTCCAGCTTTTTCCATTGGTTTCCAGGGCTATTGTATTAGTACTCTCGTCTTTCATCATTAATTCTTTCAGTTCCTCTTTCTCTCTGATCTCATTCTTTCCTTCCTTCAACTTTTCTGGTTTTAGTTAGGAGTTTCAAGGTTGCCATGAGTTGATTTCTTGAATAGTCACTTCAGAAAATGTTCTTTATGGTTTCTTGAATACTGGCTTGACACTAACTTCTTTAAGAAGCATCACCTAATAAACCATCTTGTTAGTGTTTAAAGTGCTACATGACTGCTTTTTTTGATTTACCAAGATCAGACTAACACAGCTACCTCTCTGTTAATTAAGAAGCACTGTTACCCAACTTTCTTTTAAGGGAAACATTGTCAATCTCAGCTAACAATGGGTTCCTAGAACAAAGCAAGTCTTCTGTCCATCAACCTGTTGGAAAGACCAAAGCAGAAATATGCGATCCGAGAAGTGAGGCAGTGAGGGGGAGAGTGAAGTCTGCTCTACAGCCTTAACCAGGGGTGCAACTAGAGGAGATGCAGGACATGCTGCACACTCAGGGCCAAGGGGGGAAGATGGGAATTTTCAAAAATGCCCCTGTCACTTAGGTGCAAAAATACCACTGGTTTTCTACAGGACTTGCACTTCTTTACCATACTTTCAAAATACCCCCCACAGTATTTTAGGTCAACTGGCCCATCACCCTACAGTACGAGCTTGTTTGTCAGTGTGTAATTGTGTCAATTTGCAGAACATTAGATGTCAGACCGTTGGATGGACCTGCCACCATCAGCCAGTGTTTCTCTTCTATTTGCTATTTCTGGGCTTCAAAGTTCCTGCACGATGCACAATCTCCCCTCTCTCCCTGGGAAAGGAGTGGCTGCTTGGTTTCATAGCAATACAGACCCTGAGTTTAGTGCAAAGGTGAGCTGCGTATTAAGATCAGCTCTTATTGTAACTTCTGTTTGCATTGCAAATGTTGAGAGCACAGTGCAAACAGGGGATGTCAAATTTAAACTGTGAATTAAAAAGGGCTTTAATCAGAAATGTGTGAGAGAGCAAGCTGAGCAGTACGGCTCTTGACAATACTGTTCTAATATGGTCATCCTAAACATTACTAGCATGCACACGTTTATGAGGGATGACACATTTTCTAGTTTAAAAAGTTCATTTCATTTTCTCTATACTTAAAGCTCTGCCTGATTTTAATCTCTTGAACATGACTGTACTGGACATGAAGCCAGAAAGTATTGAACTCAATATTTTGGACACTGTAGCTTCAACAAACAACAGTGTTTTTTTAAAAAAGTGTGGATAGCAA